TGTATTTGAATCAAACCATCTTGGAGACGTTTCACGAAAAACTGTGGATTACGAAAACACTTGAGTTGACAGACTGCAAGTCTGACCCCATAGGAATTTAGGCTTCATGGATCCAGATATGAATCCAAAATATTACAGCTTGAAGATTTATTTGGAGAGATTTAAAGAAAACCAAATCATTGCTGCGAAAAAATTCACCTAGAAAAATGCGAAAGACTGAGGTTTTTCGTATTTTGATATTTTTCGTTCACGCCCTAGTTCGCTCATTTGAAGTCATATACTAATGGATAGAGCTTGACTTAGTCTACGAAATGGTATATCTGATATTTGGCATAGGTCTAAAATAGTATTCGGGATATGAAAATATTGAAGCTCAAAGTGTCATTCATAGATTGGAGCTAGTGAAGCGACTATCGAATACTGTCATTCGCGTATTTGTTTTAAAAGTGCTATATTCGGAATCAGCGCAAAAAGATTGAACTAGAAATGGTGTGTTTCAGATGGCTTTCGAATCTTTTGTTTTTGATCAAATTTTTCATGGATTACCCCTCAGGTACTTTTTCAAGAGAAATGAATTGTTTCCAAAATCAGTTTTAGCGATGCAAAACGCATTCAGATATTTTGAAATACTATTTTAAAGGTAAACTAGCAAGAAAAAGTGAATAAAATACTACTTTTGAACGAATTAGTTTTCCTTGAAAAAGTACCTGAGGGGTACTCCATGAAAAATTTGATCAAAAACAAAAGATTCGAAAGCCACCTGAAACACACCATATCTAGTTCAATCTTTTTGCGCTGATTCCGAATATAGCACTTTTAAAACAAATACGCGAATGACAGTATTCGATAGTCGCTTCTCTCATTCGTCGTATCACACAACTTACCAAGAGTCGCACTGATCTCGAGGGTGATTCACTTATTCTTTCGCTATTATTACTCGTACATATTAAAGGAGAATTCTGCTTAATCTGATGACCGATTCTCCAGTCATGTCGATCAGTGAGTAGGTAACCAATCCTGACTCAAAAAATAATCCATCAACAGCACAAACTAAGCAATTACAATTAGCAAAAAGCAGCTCTAAACGGCCGAAAGCGGCTTCGGGTGATGATTCATTCGAACGTGAACATAGACTGGCTTATTCAACAAACCAATATTTCGACCGAGGTGACTCACGATCAATTGCAAATGAAAATCAAATTGGTACAGTAAATGGGATTGTAAATTCTCTCCTTAATGAAGCAAGCTGGTTGACGCCCGACCTTCCCTCCGTTTCGCATCAATATTCTCAATGACAAGAAGCCATCGGAATCATTGACTATCAAAAATATTAACAAACATTGTCGCACTTCGATTAGTTATGGTCGATATGTTCCTACGACAAAGAAATCAACGTTTCTTGTTTTCGCCAACTCCGGTCAACAGTTTGATTATCTTATGAATCGAAACGTCTGGCCGGAAACGCTGTGCAAATTAGGTATTCAACAATCCCGATACGATTCGATTCCGATTATAGAATCGGTCGAAATCGATCGGAATTGGAACCGAATGGAATCGAATGGGATTGGTTAGGATTGGGATCGGGATTGGTCTAGAATCGGCTGGAATCGAGCCGAGATATATCCAAATATATTACTACTTTTAACTAGACCAAAAATAGTTTTGAACAGTTTTCTTCAGTGACAGACGAATCACCAGCAACAACAAGAATTCAGAAGTAGTTTCCCGGCAGATCTCCTGAAGTCTGTGAAAGTTGTTAACTATGACATGTCAGTTTCGAATCGATTCCAGCCAATCCCAGTCAGTTTCAACCAAGTCCAATCCTCATTCGATCCTAGAATCGGAATCGGAATCGGAATCGGATTGATTGGAATCGGGAGTGGTGCATGCCAAGTGCGAATCCGATTACACAGCCGAATTACCCACAAAAGTTCCCGCATCGTATTCGATTATTGCACTCGGTATACCAACTCGATGGGATATTTCTGACTTCAAAATCAACCTTAGGAAACAATATCCTTCGATCGTTAAAATCGAACGGTTATATGTTCGAAATGGTATACCAATGCCGAAGGTTCGCATCGAATTCTCATCGAATGAAGATACTCAACAGATTTTAAAGAGCAAGAAGCTGCTCCTCGACGACCCAGGTCAACAAATCCGATGCTGGATCCGATCGGATCTTACCGGATCCGACCATCTGACAAAATCCGATCGGATTCCTGGAAACGGAATTGCATTGGAATCCGACTAGAAAAATCCCGTCGGTTGTTATAAATTTTATGAGCGATCTTTCTAGCTATATTCTATGATGGCCCTTAGAAAATCCAGGAAATCCATGTTTCGGATCCGACGAGATCCGACCTGGGGACGAACACACGTCATTCAAGGTGCAACTCTATGTTCCACCTACCAACAATATGATGACCACATTGCATCAAACTGTCCTCAAACGGACAACCCGGTCGGTTTCCATTGTGGTCAGAATCATCCTTTCGATTCCAACTGCCGTAACAGCATCTGCTGTGCAAATTGCAAGCAGGAACATATTGCAGGTAACCCCAGCTGTCCAATGAAAATTGAAGCAAGAAGAAAACCTATAGCCAAACCAGCTGAACTTGAATCGACAAAACCAAACGTTCCGTCAAATCTGTCCCACCACCTACAGGTTGGACCAACGCATATCACTCGCCTGCGGCAGCCAAATTATTTCATCAATCAACAAGTCAACAGCTTAATGCTTCTCAACCGGACTTCCTTTCGATCTCGAACAAGCCCAACATCCTGCTGAACAAACTCGATACACTGGCCGCCGAACAAACGACAGCTAACAAGAACATTGAAACTTTGTTTAAAGAATTCAACTGTTGTAAAGAAAACATAACATCTGTGCAGCATTTCCTTTTGAATAAAATTTGCCCTTTCATAACTAGCATTGGAACCTTCTGTCTAGGCACTATCAATCCAAAGAACAAAGACAAACTCGAGAGAATCTTCTCCACTTACCAAGACGACCTCCAATCATTAGTAATCAATAGCTCTAATCGCCTTGAACATCCATAGGAGCGACAAAATCCCCACGTAAATGAACGCAACGGCTAGAATCTTCTTCCCGAATGAGAAGAAACAATACACACTTGATACCAGCAACTTTACTAATGCCGAAAAATTGACATTGAACGACTTGTTCAAGGAATGGTCGGTTACACCTACACTTTGACCAACTCCTGGACAGGTGGACCATATACAAAGATAGAAACATCGCCGCAATGACAATCCAGCAAAACTTATCTTCTCTTCTTCTGAATATTGCAAGCTTGAACTGTTATCTGATGTTTACAACCTAATAGATTCAATCACAATGTCCACCATCATTATATATGGTATCCACCATGACGAAAGAACCATTAAACGGTTCTCTTCTCACTTCTTCAACTACAATGTCTACTCAATGAAAGGATCAAATGATTTTGGTGGTGTTCTTATCGCTATCCATAAATCAACCAACGCACAACGAATAAAATCTTTTGACGATATCGAAAATTTAATTGTTCTAGAGGTAGGCGAGGGCTCAAGTTGGTTTCAACTGGTCACTTGCTACTCGCCGCCACTCGAAGAAATACCATTCGATATTCTTGATCAAATCTTAGCAAGGAACAAACGCACCATCCTTACTGGAGATCTTAACGCAAAGCACCGCTCTTGGTCAAAGTCAGCTGAAAATCCAAAAGGTTTAAAATTGTTCAAGTGGATAATAAGTGACAAATCACATGGTGCACTGAAAGTCATCAGCAAATTCATTCCTACTTCAACAGGCTCGACCGCCACAATCGATCTTGTAATGGCACCTATATTTCTTTCCAACAACGATTTCTCAGTTCTTCCATCGATTGGTAGTGATCACCATCCGTACCATCAAGCGCATCCAATGGAGACTTCCCGAAATCTTTCTCATCTATACGGGATCATATTGGCTATCTCTTGCTTCAACAATGTCTCACTCATAGGATTATTTCACTCTTTATGAGCGTTCTCTATCATTAGCTACCAGTCGGGTCAGTTTTGTCTCGCATCAACATGCAATTAAACCGTCGTTACCACCTGAACTAGTGAAAGCGATCGAACACAAACGATAGATACTCAGACTTTGTCGTCGAACGCGGCATCCGTTCTTCGTATATGCACTGCGGAGTATGACCGACATCGTTCAGAAGCAACTGTTCGAACACGAGAGAAACAGCTGGAAGAAGTACTGCAACTCTTTCAATGAAGATGATGTCAAATCTTTCTGAAAAAAGACCAAACACCATTTCAAGGACAAAAGCGAATCGATCGAAGGATTTATCAACAGCAACAACAACACCATAATTACTTTACCAGCGGATATGTGCAAAATCGCAAAGGATTCCTACAGCGAACAATTCACCAACCGCACAAGTTTGCACACAAATATTGAAGTTCAAGCGGAAGAGGTGGACAAGGAAATCGAAGAAGCGCTTCGCAAGTCGCCACTAGCACATATCGAAATCGCTTATGATCAGCTTCGGCATGCCATTAAAACATTAACGGACAAAAGTTCCTGTGGTCTAGATGGAGTATCAAACAAGATACTCAAACTTTTACCACCAAATCATGTGACAACAGTCCACTCATGTATGAACAATTTTGCAGGTACATTGAAAACACCTGCTAACTGGCACATTGCTCGAATGATCTTGCTGTCGAAAACCAAATTAAAAAAATCTATGAAACTCGGCCTATCTCATTACTGTCGTGCTTCTCACAGATCTACGAAAAATGTTTTATGATCCAATTTAGACAATGGATACACGACCAAGGTATTCGTCCTGCAGAACAAAGCGGTTTTCGTCCCGGCCATAATATGGCAGTTCGCCTAGTTTCTATTGTAGATCAGATCGACCAATGTCTCTCTAAGAACACAACAGCAGCTGCACTCTTCGTCGACTTCCGTTCAGCTTTCAACCAAACCTGGTTTGGTGGACTTTGGCTGAAGTTGAACAACTTACATTGCCCACTACATGGAAGACAGAAAGGCTTATATCGACATAAAAAATTCGACATCCAACCTATTCATACTCGAAAAAGGCGCCCGTCAAGGCAGTTGCACCGGACCTCTGTTGTTCATTGTGTACCATTTCGACATTCTCGAATCCTTAAAAACCATTCATTACAAACATCTTTTCGCTGACGATCTTGCTATCGTGTTCGCACCATCACCTTATTTAGCGTCAGCAAGCATGATTGTAGACCTTACGGGGCAAATCAAACAAGTTCTTAAACGCCTAATCGATTATTCTAATAGATGGAGACAACCGATCAATTTTAGCAAAACACATTGGACATTATTCCACCGTCAAGTTGCTCCGATAACACATAGCATTGAATTCGAAGGCCAAACAATCCATCACATAAAAAATTTAAATATCACGAAACATTCTTAGACGCAAAGCTATCTTTTACAGAGCACATTGATTACACCAAGGCAAAGTTACAGTCGAACTTTAACATCTTCAAAAAATTAGCTTACAGTCGTATGCTAAACGAAAAATCGAAATCTCGTCTGTTCAACGCCTTCATCAGACCTCGCTTTCAATCACTGCTCAACGTCTATCCAATTCTCTCGCTGGCTAAACAAAATTTGCTAGAAGGTGTTAATCGCGAAATCTACAGAACCATGCATCTTTAGTTTGACGCCAGAAATATTGAAATTGAACATCTTCCGTCGTGTCAATCAATATCGAAATTGGTTAATAAACATTGGGGCAAGCTAGCGGCAACGATTCTGCGCACCAACTCAGATATTATCGAAGATTTTCTACAACATAAGCTATCAATATTATATATGAGAGAATACCTAACAAACCCGACACTATCTGGCGAACGAAAAAAGATCTTCAGAAACGGAAGAATCGGTAAAAACATTCGTAAACTAATTACCGAGAACAAGCTCTCTCTCTCTGTTTGATCAGGTTCTTTGCTACAAGCCGTGAAGCTTCAACAAATCGGCACCTAGCTATGTTATTCGTATCTCTGCGTATTGTTGACTATTTCTCCACATATACTCGTAACTTTTCTCTGACTCTCTCGTTTTCCCTTAGCTAGTATTGTCTCCACTTTTTGCTACATAGATCAGCATCGCCTTTACTTGTATCAAAAAGTTTTTTTAGGCTATAAGAGCTATGTCTATATATATAATCGCTTCACTAGCTAGAACCTATGAATGACCCTTTCAACTTGAATATTTCCATATTCCGGATACTATATTAGAACTATGCGAAAATATCAGGTATACAATTTTGTAGACCAAATCAAGCTCTATCCATTTGTACATATATACTAATTGTGAAAGAGAAAAGAATTTGTAAGAGTCTATAATTATCAATGTAACATGGTATTCGTTTTTCACCTAAATTAATGCTATTTGTCGATCTTGAAGTTTATCCTCTGCCCTACTATAACACTATATGAACGTTGAGCATGCAGTTCGATGCAGAATCGAGTAGCATGAATTTCGCCGTACTGACTCTGGTACTGAACAACTTCCGCCAATTGCCGTTACTTGTGTTTTGCAAATGTCAATTTAAACCGTACGTTTAGTGACAGTAATACATCTCGATAAACATAATGATCAACTAATTGCTTATAGAACAGAATCTAACTTCTGAGAGGATATGTGCCACTGTCACCAAAGGTACGGTTCAAATTGACATTTACACAACACAGCTATGCGCAATTGGCGGAATTTCAGTGCCAAAGTCAGTACGGCGAAAGTCGCGTTTCCCGATGAATCAAATGGGCTACAAGATGATGTGTAGATATCTTTGGCAATCGACTGTTCACTATAGCATTTGCACAAAATACTATGGAATAGTTGACTTTCGAAATTACGAAAAAAATATTTTGATTTTTCTGTCTTAGTTTTGACTCAAAGAGAAAATGCTATATATGCAGTACTATAAAGCAAGTTAAGCTCTATCGATTGGCATATGACTTAATGTGAATGAAGGAGCGGGTATATGAAAAAAGAATCAAAATACGAAAAATCTCGGTTCTTGCCGTTTTTCAGATATTTTTTTGGTGAAATCGTTCGACATACCCTAACTGTCTTAAAGTAGATCTTCAAACTGTAATGCTTTGGATTCATATATGAGTCCGATCCCAAATCTGTTCGCCCACATGTTCTGACCCATACTAGAAATCCATGGTTTTCTCATAGAGCGTCTCTTAAATAGCTCGGCTATCAGTTACGTTGAAATAATGAATTAAAATCGAATGAAAGCAATTAGGTTAAAAAAACTGAATAAAATCTTATTTTATGCAGAAGTTGGTCGATGATTTCACCAAGTGTCTGCTATAAAAAGAATTCTGCCGCACATGGCGTTCAGCGATAACGGGATGGTAATGTTGAACAAAACAATAATAGTAGTGCAAGTACAGAAAGAATCAGAGAAAGAAAATCACTGCGACTGTACATAACTACTGTTAAAGCACTATCTACGTATCATGAGCAGGATATCAGACTGTCACCTTATTAAAATAGTTTTAGCAAGAAAGAAGAGATTTGTTCATACATTCATCATGAAAAAAGTGCATTAAATACGCCAAAGTGACTATTTTATAAAATGATTCTAAGTTTTTGTATAGAAACAATTAACAGGTTTTACGTGCCTAGAACACCACAGACCACTATTTCAATGATATCATGCTGAATATTAGGCACAAATTAAAACTAATTTAAAAAAGATTCTATTATCGCACAAACCTTCGTAAATAATATCGGACACTTTATCCAAGCACATTTCTGCCACTTCATTATATTCTTCCGATAAAATAACTGACATTCGTCCAACCAACATATTTGATCCACCCATTTGAACACCATTCGACTGTAGGTCAAAAAGTCGTTCAAAAAGACATTGAAATCTTTGACCCATCTGGGTACAAGTGCTTGGTTCAAAAATATCATTTGAGGAAACAAAAAAACATGTTAATCTTTTGTCACATGATACCGGATTGTGATTGAATGTTAACATGAAGTCAAATTTTGCCACTTGCGAATTTGGGTTCACCGGCACTGGTTCTAAACTTGCACCATTGAGAAATGATCGATGACTGCTGGAAGAAATAGTCATAAAGTCAAACACTGTCTCGAGAAAAGGCACATTTGATTGATTCAGATGAAAATCAGCAAGAATATGTTGCAACGGGTAGTTTGTGTGCGAAAGAAT